AAATACATAAAAAAGGTCAATTTATCTTTAGGTTGATCTAAAATTAAAATTTTTAATTGTTTGCTTCTCATTAACACATTTATCGCATTAAGTTATATTTTACAATATTTTATAATTTCTTAGTGAACGAATTTATTAAAAAAAAAATACATTGAGAAATTTGTAGTTGTCAATGTCAAGTTTAAGTAGATTATTAATGGATATATCATAAGAAATTAATTTATATTTTAAGACTGATGATAATATAATAGTACTATTACTAAAAATTTTATTAAAACAGGAAAAAGTAACATTTTTAATTTTTTTATTTTTTTATTTATAAATATAGATTAATCATAAGCAATCGCAAAGTGAGGACAGCTGAACGCAAGTCGTCGGAGCCGCACATTTGAATAGCATAAACAGAGAGAGAGAGAGAGCGAGAAAATAAATTACGTAAATAATACGAAGACTCTGTTATACTGGAGCAAAACGGAGAAAGTACTAGGGGTGCAGAGTCCCCCGACGCCAACCAAGAAAATCGAGCGACGTGTTGGTGGACTCCGTGGACTGCTATGGGTTGCTTTGGCTCTCCAACTTCAAAACAGTCTGATGTCAACTCGGAGGATTCGAAAAGTCAAAAGCGAAGAAGCGATGCCATATCCAGGCAATTGCAGAAAGATAAACAGCTTTATAGGGCAACGCACAGGTTGCTCTTGCTGGGAGCGGGTGAGTCCGGTAAATCAACTATAGTCAAACAAATGCGGATATTGCACGTCGATGGATTTTCTGAACAAGAGAAAAAACAGAAAATTGATGATATTAAAAAAAATATTCGTGATGCTATATTGGTAAGTCTATTTTTTTTATTTTTTTTTTACAAATTTTCACTTTTTTATTTATTTAAGTTCTTATAACTGGATTTATTAAAAAAAGCTTTTATTCGATCTGGTTAGTTGTAAGTTGATGAGATTGGATGAGATGCGATAATAAGAAAAAGTAAATAATGAATAATTTAACAATGGGCAAGGAGCGATCCATTATTAAGGAAAGAATTGAAGATCTGGAACATATTTATATAGAAGAAGCTTGAAATTATTTTTTTTTTTTTTATACATATATTTCTGCCTCGTATTTTAAAAAAAAAAAAATCAATATCTAAAGTTGGGCGCTTGACTTTCTCTTAATAACTGGAAATTATCTTTTGGTATTTGGGTAATCAATATGCAAACCAATAAGCTATCAAAACTTAGGTTTTGGGTATAAATGAATGCCTTATTTGTTTTATGTTTTGAAATATTTCATTCGAATTTTTTTATTTTGTCTTTTGAAGCCCCACTTAACTCCTAACCAGAGGCTTTCAATGGATTACTATATACATACATAAATCGAGTTGCTGAGCAGACAAATCTAAAAATATTAAACTGCAAGTGTGCATAGGAGCGTGTTATCCTGATAAGAATGTTTATAACTAATAATTTTTTACAATTTTCTAATGAAAGAAATTTTTGTATAATATGTAAGTATTTTTTTATGATTTATCTTTAAAGTAGCTGTGAGAGAATTATTATTGTTTAGTTTTTGTTCTATCCATTTAAAGGGGACTATACTTATGAATATCTATCAAAATTTGTAATATATAATATATCTGTAAATCAGCAAATATAAAATAAGGGTAAGAAATTAAGGTACATATTGAAAGCATTTAAATGCAACTTAATTCTATATTATAGGTATCCGTATTATCTGTGTAGAAATTGAAAATTTAGTACTAAGCTGTTCGAGAAGCTCTAATATTTTCTCAATTTAACTAAGAAATATCTAAGTATGCTATTAATCTATTTTTCTATGAAGCTCTTAAATATTTTGACCAGTCAAATATATGTAATCCGTCCGTCTACCTGAATGTTTGACCTCGCTGATCCTGCGATTGGCTGTGAAACTCAGCAAATAATAATATCGTAGCTTTTCTAATTAGATCTTGGATGTTAAATATATTTGAAAAGGGGTTATATGGAAGATCATGCTGTCTAAAGTATTTAGTATGCCTCCTTCTGGTGATGGTGTCGGAGTTATATGTTGTTGATTGAATTATCAAATGTTGTATGCGGATATTGCTGTTAACTAATTGATATCTTTGATAAACAATACATTGACCACTCAACGTTTTCTATATATATAACCTAAATTGGACTTTTGCTAATGTTTAATGTATCAGGTACAAGGAATTCTCTTCTTCTATCTAAAGTTTCTATTTTCTTGAGTAGAGCTCTTTAACTTGTTTACAGTTTCTTTTTGTTGTAGGTAAAAATATGTTTCAATTAACACTTACTTTTCTTATAATTCCGAAATTTAAAAATTAATAATATATTTTAAGTGTAAAATTACCAGATCGAAATAAAAACTTTGAAAAACCTATATTATATGTAATTCCTAATAATGAACAATCTATTATTTACAGACTATTACTGGAGCCATGAGCACACTAAATCCACCTGTAGCTTTAGAAAAGAAAGAAAATGAACCCAGGGTGGAATATATTCAGGATTATGCCTCTAGTAAGTTAACAACTACCACAAAATGAACATAAATAATAATAATGATAATAATTTGAGACTATAGCCTTAATTTCGGTTTGTTTTTACTCAGGATTCAGCTGTCTCAGCTGTTAAAATTATATGAATTGATTAAATACTTTAGTACTTTATTTTATTACAATAATAATCTCAATTCCAGGTCCTGACTTCAACTATCCTCCAGAATTTTATGAACATACAGAAGAACTATGGAAAGACAAAGGGGTCCTTCAAACCTATGAGAGGTCAAATGAATATCAATTAATTGACTGCGCAAAATAGTAAGTAAAAGTCGATCTGGTGGTACAGCTTAAGAGATATTATTTAACTGTGTAATTATTACTATTTCTGTTTTAATTGATGTGATATGCACCGAAACTGTTTTTTGAATAACTTTAACTTAAATATATTACTCTTTTATTTAGCACAATAAGTTAATGCCAAATTAATGTGGATTATGCGGTAAATGGATCGTAGACAATATTTAGTTTTTGTGAACGCCTTTTTGCAAAGAGTGAGCTAGAAATAACTCTGCTGTAATTGGGTATAACCGCTTGTGCAATACTCGCTAATTATCTGAAACGCAAATCCGCAGCAATAATATAGTCTTGAAGATTAACAATGCATAATGCTTTTAGTTTTTAAGCGAGTCTAAAAATGAGTTGAATTAAAAAAAGAGAAATCAGAGCTGTGAGAATAGTTTCTTGTAAATCCGAAAATATCTTAAGGGAATTCACGGAATCCTCCATTTCTTGGCTGATCGATACTAGATCATGATATAAGCATGTCCCTTACACTGACTATTATATTTGTACTCGTATTTTCAAATGAGATATCTGTAAGATTAGATTTAACCATGAAGAAATGCCAACTGTAATATATATTTTATTATAATGATTAATTAATTATAATTGTTGCTATTACAATATGTATTCATTTGTTTTTCTCTCATTTCTTTATTGCTATTTAGCTTTTTGGACCGAGTTAGCACAATTAAAAATCCAAATTATACCCCCAATGAGCAGGATATTCTTCGGTGCCGTGTTTTGACTTCTGGAATATTTGAAACAAGATTTCAGGTGGACAAAGTTAATTTTCAGTGAGTTGCAATTGAATAAGCACTTTAATGTATTAATTACTATAACTTTGCAAATTCCCTGCCTTCAAATAGTATGTTCGATGTGGGAGGACAGCGCGACGAGCGTCGGAAGTGGATTCAATGTTTCAATGATGTAACTGCTATAATCTTTGTAACGGCATGCTCAAGTTATAACATGGTTTTGCGTGAGGATCCCACTCAAAATCGGCTTCGTGAATCCTTAGACTTATTTAAGAGTATTTGGAATAACAGGTATTAGATGGAATTATTTCTAGACAAATTGCATTGCTTTAATCAATGTTCCTTTTTCATAGATGGCTACGCACAATTTCTATTATACTTTTTCTAAATAAGCAAGATTTGTTAGCAGAGAAAATTAAGGCTGGAAAAAGTAAATTGTCGGAATATTTTTCCGAGTTTAACAAATATCAAACGCCAAGTAAGTAGATAAATAAATTTAATTAGAATATTAAAAATAAAGGAATAAAAATTAAAACTAAAGGCCATGTCGTTATAAATAACTGAAAAATGAATTTCATAATTTTATTTACTTTTTTTTTTTAATATGATAATGAGCAGAAATCAAATTGGAAACGCTTTGATCTATCCCCCCATGTTACCCCCTATATAGGCAAATATCTGTCAATCAAAGTCAATCAATTTAAATTGAATTTGTATTTGTTTTGCCATTGAAGCTAACTATATCGCAATTTCTATAAATTAGGTGACGCAATAATGGAATCTAACGATGACCCAGAAGTAATAAGAGCAAAATATTTTATACGTGACGAGTTTCTGGTAAGTCACCCAAAATAGACTAAAAATAATGATAAATGATTAATTATTTTCAAATAATTTTGCAGCGTATATCGACAGCAAGTGGAGACGGTAAACACTATTGTTACCCACATTTTACATGCGCCGTTGACACAGAAAACATAAAGCGAGTTTTTAATGATTGTAGGGACATAATTCAAAGGATGCACCTTCGTCAATATGAATTGTTATAGGTTATCCCTATCGCCGTAATTCAACAAATAAAGTGAAGAATATATTATTGAATTACTGTTTTAAATATAATTATCAAATGTAATTTGTATTTAAATAGTCCCTTGAAACAAAAAAAACCAACAACAAAAAAACTAAAAAAAAAAAAAAAAAAAAAAAAAAAAAAAAAAAAAACAAAACAAAAATAAAAGCGCTGCATTTAGATCTGGTATGACCTTTCACAAAACTCAACATTAAAGAAGAATAAATAAACATGTTATTAACAATTACAATTGTTTTTATTGATATTGCTGTATATAGTATTTAAAAATACTTTCGATTTCCCAGTTGCTGTTGAGTATATATATCGTATCGTATCTTTTTTCCCCTGACACAAAGCGCATTTGCGTTAATTATAGATGAGTATACAAGTCTAGTCAAAAGTCAACTATACAAGTGGATTGAGTATGCCGAAGCTGACGGAGGCCTTATCGATCTCATCAAAGTTTCTTTTGGTTTTACTCTTCCAGGCATTCTTGTTGTAAGCCAAATCCTTTCTAGCTAAAGCTGGCCGATTTGCTCGATGATCGTTGTTGTTGTTGGCTGCCAATTCCCATAGATCGCTCTGTGTATTGATGTCGCGCTGATACTTCAATGCCTGCTGAGCAATATCCTTAAAGACAAAAAGCACTCTGAAAAAAAAAAAAACAAGCAGAACGATTAAATTAAAATCAGATGGGTTAACGAATGAGGAATATATTAATTATTATTATTGCCAACAGGACTGATTAAGGAGTATGGGATAGTCCCAAGCCGTAATCATGGGTAAGAAGTGTTAATAAATGGATCAATTTTTTTTTAGCTAGATTGGCTTATTACTAATTTTAATTCTTATTCCATTTTGATTTGTTTGTTAAAAATGTCAATCTTAATTTAATTTGGTAATTAAATATTACTTACCTTAGCACTAGTTTTCCGTCAACGTTTTCCAAGAAAGCTTTTGAAACCAAAGGAAATTGTAAATATTTTATGCTCTGTTCATATATATTTTTTTTTCTTATAAATATATTTTAATAAATGAATATTTTTTTGTATGTTCTCTGCATCTTACACTTCTTGCCAAAAATTTGTTTAATAAAAAGTTTATTAGATAAACAAAAGATAAAATAAAAGATATATTTTAATATATAAACAAATCAGGAAATGAGCGAGTGAACGTGAGAGTTGACATTTAAATAAATAAGGAATAATAATAAAAATAATGGAATACGATTTGGAATGACAATGAAAGGCAGAATACAGAAAATGAAAGATTGAAGATACAAGAGATCGTGAAGGTAAGAAAGAGAATGAGACTGAGAATGAATACTGAACATTTGTGTTTCTTGACAAATTTTCATTCCGGTTTCATATTTCGTATTCCCTAATAGTATAGGAATGTGTCAAAAGTAGTCCTTAACAACAATCAGTATAAACAGTTATATGTACATATGTATTTCACATAAATTGCTTTATTACCTTAGATAATTTATACATTGATAGTGTATTGGGAGAGAGTTGTTAATTGACTTTACATTTTGAAAAGTGATATTGGGTCATGATATTCTGGTTAATAATATAGGGATTTCTTGATCAAATGTCCCCCACCAATACTGTCTAGATCGCGCTTCGCCTGACGATTCGATGGATTCTTTTCGGAATAAGCTTTCTTTTGGCCCAGTGGCAGGACAGTTAATTTCGGAAACAGGTTAAATATATTATCAGGTATGATATCTCTGCTGGATTGAAGAATGTAGTAGCTGCCATAATTTAACTGTACAGTTGAAGCATCTAAATAAAATGAAAAATAAACGAAATAAAACATGCATGATATTTAGCAATTATTTTACAATAAGAAACAAATATGAAAGTTAATTTTCATAATTAAATAAAATTAATATCATATATAATTATAAATAAGGTGTATACATTAGACTTATATAACTTATGTTTGTTTATGCTAACTAAAGATGAATATTTATATTTAGTTATTACTTGTAATTTAACTTAAATAGGAGAGAATCGAATGATTGCTTAAATGGACTTTATGTACATGTTCATATGTTTTGAGAATATATACACATTTATATATTTTAGTTTTCTTTTATATATGCGAAGGAAAAAATGCGTTAAACAAAAAAGGGAGAATTCAAGAACAAAAATATTCTAACAATGTTTGATATACTTAATTTGGTATTACGAACTAAATAAGTTAGCATAACTAATGTCATCCACTTCTGAGAGAAAATCAATACCAAAGTTGAGAAAGGGTAGAATTATATTATATATTATTGTAGCTTTTCACTTAACGCTTTTCGCATATGAAAAAAAAAAAAAACAAACAAAAAAACGCAGACCCCATATAATGTCATCTTAAAGAAGAAAACATAAATTTAAGATAATAAAAGGCAACGTAATTGGAGAAAATAATCACAATAACTTCTCGTATTGTCTGCTGGTATTATCGCAGGGCTCTAACACAATCGGTTCAATGGAAGCTGAAAATAATAATAGTGAAAGAAAATCTTGTTAAAATGGCGAGAGAGCTGAGAAGAGGATTTAGTAATCCTTTTGACAACATGGTACACAACATCATTTCCAGTAAGTCCAGTATCTCAACAACCGCCAAAGCTAGAAAATAATCAAATATTTATTTATATTTAATTATGTATGTAGAATTAAGAGTATACAAGTTTTATAATTGGGAAAAAATAACTGACAGCAAGACTTGGTAGCCAATAATATAAACATTATTAGCATGAATACTTTACTGTATTGAATAACTTTGAATTTTGAATATAAGTTTTATTTTTATTTATACTTATT